AGAGTGGTCAATAGGTACTTGGAGTGACCATAGTTAACCACACTGTATTCTATATTTGTAAGTTGCTAGAGAGAGATCATAAAAGAGTTATCATCACAAGAAAAAAAGTATTTGTAATTATGTGTGGTGATGGCTGTTAACTAAACTCATTGTGGTAATCACTTCTCAATGTATACATATATCGAATCATTATGTTATCCAGTGTTTCCCAAACTTCTCTCATGATGAGAATCACCTGGTGGAGTTGTTAAAATACAGATTCCTGAATCCCAACTAAGAAATGCTAAACTGTATTTTAACAACTCCACCAGGTGATTCTCATCATGAGAGAAGTTTGGGAAACACTGTGTTATACAGCTAAAACTAGTACAGTGTTATATGTCAACAAGACCTCATTTTTTTAAAAATGTTAAAGGTATTTGAAAATAAGTGTCTGGAGTTCAGTAGAGAAGTCAAGACATAAATACATATGCGGTGATCAGCCACATAAAGGTTACAGCTATAGGAATGGGGTGGGAGTTCAGAGAGCAGAGAACTGAGAGCAAAATCTTAGACAACATAAAATTTTAGGGCAAATGTGATGTCAACAGAATGAATGGGATTTAGAAGCCAGAAAGACCGGAGCGAATTGGGACGGCACCGGGTGATCAGAAACCAGAAGACAGCATCTCACGGCGGGGTTGGACAGTAGGGTCCAATGTTGGTCGAAGTTAGGAAAGACCTTTGAGTTTGGTAAGTGGGAAGTTGTGACTTCCACTGAGGAGTAGAAACAGAAGCCAAAGAATTTTGGCGAAGGCGGGGAGGAAGTAAAGACAGGGGTATAGGTGTATCTTTTGACATATTTGCCAATGAAGTGAAGGAGAGGAACAATGGCAATTTGAGGGAGTAGCAAGATCAAAGGACATGTTTATGTATTATGTAGGCAAGAAGAGAGGGAAACTGCAAGACAGAGAATAAGAGATGGAGAGAAAGGCCCCTAGAAGAGATGCTGATTAAGAACAGGGAGGAAAGGGGAGGGAGTCCACCCCAGGGCCAAGGGAAAAGAGAGAAAGAAGCAATCGCGAGGCTCTGTCCGGGGCCGGATGAGTGCCCAGTCTGTCTGTCAGCACCCAGGAGGTAGGTGTCACTACACTTTACAGGTGAGGCCACTGCGACAGAGGAGCTGCCCTGCTATCAGCGGCGATCTGGGTTTCAACCTTGGTCTTTCCTCCGAGTCCCCACTCTTTCCCGGACTCCGCTATGCCTAGCACCTGGGAATGACAGATGAAAAGGGGAGGCCAGGGCCCAGGCAGGGAGAAGCTCTGGACGATTCCCTTATGTTTCTCCTGCCACAGGAAGCTGTCAGCAGAGCACCCGTTCCTGAAAGAGATGCGAGATCGAGGCGAGAACCTGTATGTGGTGATGGAGGTGGTGGAGACAGTGCAGGAGGTCACTCTAGAGAGAGCCGGCAAGGCAGAGGGTGTCTTCTCCCTCCCTTTCTTCGCTCCATTGGGGATACAGGTTTGGTTCTCTCTCTCTCTCTCTCTCTCTCTCTCTCTCTCTCTCTCTCTCTCTCTCTCTCTCTCTCACACACACACACACACACACACACACACACACACACATTCAGCCTCTCACAAAGGCTGCATTGACTTTGCCCCATCAGTGCCCATCCAGGACACTATCAAGGACCCATTCTTTCTCCCTGCTCTTCAGGATCCAGTCCCCTGCTGGCCAGACACAAATGTGCCACATGCCACAGGGAATCTGTCAGAGAAGGGGAAACTCACAGACATGGCATTCCCTCGTGGTGCTCCCCATCTACAGGAGAGACATCCTGTTCTCAAGAAAGTTCTGTCTCATGGAGTTGACACCTAGGTTGCAAAATTCAATGTAAATACGTAATGTTCTGGATACCTCTGCCTATTTTGTATAAATATTCAAAGGATGAGTTGGAACGGGGAATAGGAGTTAGTCATGGAAGATTTCTTGAAGGAGGTGAGCAAGGGACAGAGTGCAAAGAGGAAGAAGGAACCAAGGCCTGGATGGAAGTTCTAAGGTGGGACAGGGATGTCCAGGCAAGTGATGGAGCAGGTCTGCCCAGTTCCTTCATGTGTCTGAACCAGGAAGAGAGATACAGATCATTAGAGATACAGAGCTGTGAAGCCCACTCCATGGAGTCTGGGCCCGGTAGAAAGGCAATCAGGGGCACCAGTGAAGGGTTCCCAACTTCTTGTGTCCCCAAAGGCCCTCAAACTGGCCCTTCATTTGCACCCTCACTCCCCACTTCCAATGTCTCATACTTAGGATCTCCGCAGATTCACAAGTCCTCACTGTCTCATCCTAGGGATCCATCAACCACAAGGAGGCGGTAACCATCCCCAAGGGCTGCATCCTGGCCTTTCGAGTGAGGCAGCTGATAGTCAAAGGGGAAAATGAATGGGGTAAGTAGACACCAGCGTGTTCTCCGCTCAAGACAGGACAAGAATGACCTGCACCAATACTAAGACATCCTGGTCCCCTCTTGGGGCAGTGCTAGGGGATTAGTGAACCAGGGTGTTGTTTGGTGGTCCAACTTCAAGGAATAGAACAGCAGGAGCTGCCCTGGAGAGAGAGGGAAGGGACTCCCAGTTTTGAGCATCTCCTGTGTGCTAGATGCTGCGTTAGCTTTGGGGGAGAGGGAGCTGAGAGCAACCAGCTTCAAGGAGTCTGTGGCCAGTGGAGGAAACAGACCCATAAACCAGTACCTCAAATGCAAGGGGGAGAATACTGTTATCACAGGAAAGGATTTACAAAGGGGGAAAGGATTCCTTGTGGCAAGAGAGGAGGACCCAAAGATGCAGCGAGGCATTTAAGGGCAGGTTCCTGGCCTCAGTAGACGTGAAAACTAGAGAAAGAAAAATGGGGCAGCTGTTTAAGGTTCCTGCTTTCCTCTCTCTTACAGAGATTCCACATATCTGCAACGATAACATGCAAACCTTCCTTCCTGCAGGTAAGTGAGTCTGCTTCCCGGCTCCCCACATCTTCTGCCCTACCCCGACATTATCTGCTGAAGACTGTGCCCTTGAATAGCGCACACATACACACACCATAATCCCCCTGCCAAGGAGCCCCTGGTTTGGTTTTCCAAGTCCCTAAAATATCTATTCTGAACTCTAGGAAGACAGAGAAAGACCTGTGAATACCACACAAGAGGGACAGAGAAACAGAGAGGGACTGAAAGGCACCAGTGGAAACAATAATAAGACATGGAGACAGCGTGTGTTCTCAAATTGTGGGCAGATGAGCTAACATAGTCTCTGTGTGGGCTGTGTGTGTGTGTGTGTGTGTGTGTGTGAGATTTTTAAAAAATATATATTTTTACTGATTTTAGAGAGGAAGGGAGAGGAAGAGGGATATAGAAACATCAATGATGAGAGAGAACCATTGATGGGCTTCCTCCTACACACCCCTAACTGGGGATCGAGCCCACAACCCGGGCATATGCCCTGACCGCTGTGGCATATGCCCTGACCGGGAGTTGAACTGTGACCTCCTGGTTCATAGATTGACACTCAACCACTGAGCCATGCTGGCCATCTGGCCTGGCTCTGAGTGTTTTTATAATGATCACTGATAAAGCTGCCTTGACAACTGCTCCATTTTAAAAGGCATGAGTAGGTGTTATGCTGACATATGTGCATTGTTTCTGTCTTCAGAAAAGCCAGAAGAGGAGAAGCTCATCCGTAAGTGTTTCCTGCCATTTCACTGTTACGTTTTTGACTCAGAATTTTAAAACTCCAGTTGTTGTTTGATTACCTCCTCCATGGGGCTGACAGGAAGCATGGCAGAACAGATCTCAGCAAACAATCGTCCCTGAAACATGGCAGAAATGCCAGTAGCTTAGGACAAGCAGTGGAAAGGGGAGGTCTCTGCATGAGATACCCAGGTGGGCTGATGCCTCGGACCAGACCGCTGTCCTCGAGGGCCTTAGTAGCTCTAACCTATTACACACACCTCTGCAACTCCGCCCACCACCCAGCACCTGGGGCGGAAGCAGCTGAATCACAGTGTTGACAACTCAATCCAGCTGCCATTTTCCCATTGCATTAGCTTTTCTCCTGACCCATTCCTGCCTCCCACAAATGGGACAAGAGTATCCTTAAACTGACTGGGCCATCCTAACACCCCCACCCCCCCATTCCCCCTATTAAACCTCATTGCCTGGCTGGGTATTCTAACCCCCCATTAATGTTTCATCCCCTGGGTATGGCTACTGTTTGAGAGGATTACATTCTTATCATTGTTTGTTTTTTGTTTTCTTCTCAGTCATCCAGGCATCTGATGTCGGTAAGGAACTTTGTGGGTTTCTCCCAAGACTTTGGAGTAGGAGAAGCATTGGGGTGGAGGGAGAAGAAGACAAGTGCTGAGTCCACTGCCAGGAAGCCAATCTCCAAAGCTGGCTGGACATTCTCCTAGGGTGCCAGGTCTTAGGGTCAGGCCAAGGTTCAAGTCAACTCTGATCCATCTGTCTATAGACCCACCCACGGATCTCAGGAGCAGTCCCATCTTGGCCTTCACTCAGTCACCAGTCATTCTTCTTTGTCAACTAACTCAGGAGAAGGGGAGATAGACCTCCCTCCTCAACTTTTAGCCAGTCTTAGAGAAAGGGAAGTCACTTGTCTGCTGATCCCTGGTGGGGCCTGGGGGCCTGGGAGATTAGGGAGAATGACTATGGCTTAGATGGTACTGTGGGTCCTGGACCCCTCCTCGCCCCCAATGGCCACACACACACACACACACACACACACACACACACACACACACACACACACACACACACACACACACACACACACACACACACACACACACACACACGTATGCATCTCAAGTCAGGGCTAATGGATAACTTCATAATTGCATCCCTTGGTCAAGAAAAAAGAGAGGCCAGGCTAAAGCTGGGAGAGAGCACGGGCCCTGTGAGGGTGTGTGAAGGAGCCTGCAGGGAGAACGCTGTCTGAGTGGGGAGGGTGCCAGGTGGAGAGCCGCCTGTTTGCCACGTTTACTGTCCCCACAGGGGAAATGCATGAGGACTTCAAGACGCTCAAAGCAGAGATTCAACGAGAGACCCAAGAAGTGGAGAAGCTGAGTCCCGTGGGACAAAGCTCCTTGCTCACGGCCCTCTGCAAACTTCTAGGAAAGAAAAAGGAGCTACAAGACCTGGAGCTCACGGTGAGGTCCCAGTGGAAGTGGGGGCGGGGAGGAGGATTGAGAGAAGGGAGGTTTTTGATGCAGCTGCATTTGGGGGGTTGGGGATCTGACACTGGCAGAAGGTGATCAGGGGCCAGGGGACTCAACAGCAGATGCCTTCCCCAAGCTGGCCATGTGCCCCAGGCTGCCCTTGTGCCTCTGGAGAAGGACAGACAGTGCAGTTTTCAAGGCACAGGCTCCTTCCTGATGGACAGGGGAGGCAGCAGCCAGCAGGGCCCTCTCTTGGAAGGGGACCAGAACTTTCCTTTCCAGGAAGCAAGGCTCAGGAACCAAGGAACCCCCAAGTCCAATATTTTCAGGACTTGATACCTTGAAAAAGAAATCTGGAAATCGAAGGAAGTTGACACATGTGCCAGACACCGTGCTGGGCCCCTTCCTCAGGTTACCTTAGTCACCCACCTTTCCCACAGCTTGAAGGGGCTCTCGACAAAGGACATGAAGTGACGCTGGAGGCACTCCCAAAAGACGTCCTCATATCCAAGGAGGTTATGGGCGCCATCCTCTACTTCCTTGGAGCACTAACAGGTAAGGAATAAGGCCTTCATTCATACACCCTTTTGGTGATAGGAATGAATCACTGAGAGAATTCCCAAATGTTTGAATGAATGAATAAGTAATTGAATGAGTGCCATGCAAATTATAGTACAATGAAGTAGCTTATACCTACATATTTAAAAATTGGTCTCATGCCTAAGGATTCACTTGGTCACCTTGGATAGTCTGAGAAGATGGCCTAATCTTGCAAACAGAGGTTGGGGTAACACATCGCTAACCTCATCACATGTTATCGATATTTGTTAGCTTTCCTTTCAGAGGGTAACCTCCCCTGAATACTCTTCTTCGCTCTGCAGGGAACATTCCCCGACTTAAAAGAATTATCTGGTCCTTCAGGCATAAGCTGAGACGTTTGCTCTCTTAAGAAGTCTGCCATCACTCAGTGGATAGAGCGCAGGCCTGCAGACTCAAGGGTCCCAGGTTCGATCCTGGTCAAGGGGATGTACCTTGGTTGCAGGCACATCCCCAGTAGGGAGTGAGCAGGAGGCAGCTGATCGCTGTTTCTCTCTCATTGATATTTCTAGCTTCCTATCCCTTTCCCTTTCTTTCTGTAAAAAATAATAATAAAATATATTTATTTTTTTAAAAAGAAGTCTACCATCAAATGCCAAGACCAAAGTAGGCCCCTCCGCTATGGCTCCCCTGACACTGTGTGCTGTATTTGCATGTTCCTGTTTTCCCCACTAGACGGCAGGTTCCCTGAGTGAAGGGAGTACATATTTACCGAACATGCTCAGCAAAGGTGGCTGGCCCAGAGCAGGCACCACCTGTGGCTGGCTGGATGAATTAATTAACGATGAAAGGCTGGTCGTGTACCCATGTGGAGTCTGTAGTTCCCTATGCACCAACAACACACATCTTTCTCTTCTCTTTCTTCAGAGTTAAGTGAAGCCCAACAGAAGCTGCTGTTGAAATCCATGGAGAAAAAGATCCTGCCTGTGGAACTGAAACTTGTGAGAATAAGCAGCAGACTCCTGGGACAGCCGGGGAGGGAGTCAGCCCGAACCAGGGCAAAGAGACAAACGTCACCTCCTGACAGATCCATCCTGGAGGGCCTCTGTCTCATCCCAGCGCCTCATGCCCCTTCTTATTTCTCTCGTTTCTTCCTTTTTTGCTATTTCACAACTAGAGATGGAAGAGTAGATAGATGTCCGGGCGATTGTCTGGGTTTTTCAGCCTGATCGTGGGAGGAGAGACAGGACGCCCTGGTTTTGCTTAGTCCTAGCCAAGTGATGTGGACTCATGTTTTAATGTCTCTGAGTAAAATTGGGCTAAAAACCAATGAGCTGCCCTCCGTACAGGGTTGTTAAAAGGTCCAGATGGGCCCTGGCCAGTGCGGCTCAGTTGGTTGGAGCACTGTCCCATACACCAAAAGGTGGCGGGTTTGATCCCCGATCAGGGCACATTGAGGTCAGGGCACTTCAAAAAAAAAAAAAAAAAAAAAAGGTCCAGGTGGAGTTGTAACATAACGTAATAAAAGGAGTTATAATAAGAGAAAGGTAGGCATCTGTGGTTTTTATGAGTTAGGAGAAGAGAAGAGAGGTTTCCAGTTCTTTCTTCTCATGCTGTTTTTGTTCCTTCCAGGTGGAGAGCACACTGGAACAGAATTTTCTGCATGACAAAGAGGATGTTTTCCCCCTGCAAGCTAACCTGCTCGCCTCGCTTGGGGAAGAGGAACTGATCCTCACTGAGGCCCTCGTGGGGCTGAGCGGCCTGGAAGTGCAGAGATCGGGCCCTCAGTACACATGGGACCCAGACACCCTCCCCCACCTCTGTGCCCTTTACGCCGGCCTCTCCTTCCTGCAGCTGCTGACCAAGGCCTCCTAACTTGCCTTTTCCGTCTGCCTGTTGCTTCCCTAACGCCTTCCCTACCTCACTGTGCTACGTCCTTAACATTCAAGGGCATTTCATAGCCGCCAGGCCAAGGAGGATGAAAATCCTAGCTGATCCCCCAAGATAACCAATTTCCACTTGACCAAGTCTGTATCTCCTCCTGCACCTGTAGCTCTGCTACCCGCTAAGCCCACCCGCTGACGCTTAAGTCCTCTGAGAGTAGAAACACTCAAATTTTAAAAATTATGAACCATTTCAGCAAAACCAAAATTAATTAATTTTCTATCCCAATCCCTCAATCTTGTGCTTTTAAAAAAAAATCAAGCTTTACTAGAATTAATGGAAAATATTTCACTTTGGATGAAATGTCTTTGGTGTTTTCTTTTAAGAATCTATCATAAGGAAATTCTTAACTTGTGCCAGAAAAGAAAATAGACACTGTCATACTACATATATTATAGATCATATGTACATGAATGCTATTACACTGTCCTCAGGCCAGCTGGGAGATACTCAGAGAAGAACTATGAGGGCATAGAATGTGGAATCTAGATTCTAAAGTGAGATGTCATCAAAGCAGCTTGTCTTCATAGCGGAGCCTCTGGAGTCCTCTGGACTTGGATTAAGGCCGGGGTTGGCAAACTGAGGCTCGACAGTCACATGCAGCTCTTTGGCCCCTTGAGTGTGGCTCTTCCACAAAATACCACGGCCTGGGAGAGTCTATTTTGAAGAAGTGGCATTAGAAGAAGTTTAAGTTTTAAAAATTTGGCTCTCGAAAGGAATTTCAAACGTTGTCCTGTTGATATTTGGCTCCGTGGACTAATGAGTTTGCCAACCGCTGGGTTAAAGGACTGGGAAAGGCAAAACTCTAGAGCACATGTGTCAAACACAAGGCCCGCGGGCCAAATCCGTCCCGCCAGGCCTTGCAATGTGGCCCGAACCATGCTGTCATCACTGCACTCCGCTGCATTTCCATCACAATGACAGTTTATGACTGTTCAGTAAACCATTCGGCCCGCGATTTAGGCTGGATTTTAGATTTTGGCCCCTTCTCTGATTGAGTTCGACACCCCTACTCTAGAGATACATTGTACAAACCCCAAACAAGAGTAAGACAACTTTCAAGTTTATTGGATAAAAATGCAAATAAACCCTGGCCAGGTAGTTCAATTGGTTAGAGCATTGCCCCAATATGCCAAGGTTGTGGGTTCAATCCCTAATCAGGGCACATGCAAAAATCAATCAATCAATGAAATGAATAACAAATTGATGTTTCTCTCTCTCTCTCTCCCCCTCTAAAAACAAACAAATGAATAAATAATTTTAAAATGCAAATAGGTGATTAAAAAAAAAAAAAGATATCTGCCTGGCCAGTGTGGCTCAGTGGTGGAGCACTGACATATGAACCAGAAGGTTGAGGTTTGATTCCCAATCAAGGCATGCCCAGGTTTCGAGCTTGATCCCTAGTGGGGAGCATCCAGGAGGTAGCTGATCAATGATTTCCTCTCATCATTGATGTTTCTCTCTTTCTCTCCCTCTCCCTTCCTCTCTGATATATATTGACCAACAGCTTTTTAAAAAATAAATTGTGCTATTATCTTCTGATTTCACCTTTTTCTCTTCTTGCTCTCCATTCGAGGTGGTTGTAGGAGGAAGTGATATGGCTAGACTTGCATATGGACCTGCTAACATGGATATTACAGTCTCATAAAACTGCTAGATTTATACCATCCTCCTCCGCCTAAAACTTGGTTTTAATATCTTTCACCAACCCCTTTTAAAATAGTTCTGTGAGTGGAATAATTTCTCCAAGGTTTTTGGCCCCGGGAGTCAAACTCTTCCCCTTCTTAGCCACCCCTTGTCTTGATTAGTTCCCTCACTCACCAAGAATTCATGACCAACTGCCAAAGACTTTGTGTTAAGCCATCCTCCTCCATTCTGGGGCATGTTCTAAGGCCTCACTCTATTGCTCAAGGACATACTGAGTTGATTGTTCTAATCTTATGATGTAAACATAATAAAGAAGTGACCTAACACCCTAACTATCCGGAAGGGTAACTCCGTAAAGATGAACCACGAAGCTCACCTGTTTTCTTCCTTGCCGTTCTCGCCCACCTTCAGTTACAGATATGGCGTTATGAAGAGGCTTTAATGTGTTTATTCCAGTGATGACTCAAAAGTCCTGTTATCCATTCCCAAGCCCTTCGGGGAAGGGGCATAGTTAGGGAAGAACTGGTCAAGGCATGTTCCCTAAAACTGGAGCACACATTTTCCCATTTAGCAAGTGGCTGTTTAGTGCATGAGCTCCTTGGTACAATAGTATGAAAAGGGTGTGGTAAAACCCTGGTCAGAGAGCTCAATTGGTTAGAGCATTGACTGGATACACACACACACACACACACACACACACACACACACACACACACATATATATATATATATATATATATATATATATATATATATAGCTAATATGCTAAGTGTCCCTCCCATCATCTGACTGGTCGCTGATGCACACTGACCACCAGGGGGCAGATGCTCAATGCAGGAGCTGCCAAGCTGCAGTGGCTTGGCAGCAGAGGTCCTTGGGTGATGCACCCCGAAAACAGAGAGGAGGGAACCCAATCCTTTGCCAGCTGCGCGATTCATCGGTTATGTTGTTGCTGGGGCTCTGCCGCCCAATGCTGGTTTACTGAACTCTTGTGTTTGTGTTTCATACCCTGTATGACAGCAACTTTGCAGAGTGCCCTCTCGCACTCAGGGACCCCTGGAGGGATGTCCGAGAGCCAGTTTCAGTCCGATCCCCGCAGGCCAGGCCGAGGGACCCCACCTGCCAAGGAACCCTACCTGCTGGAGGGACCCTGCTCACTCCAAAAACACTGGGGAGAGGCCAGGGAAGTTGGCTCCAGGGCATGTCTGGCCCCTCTCGCCCAGCCCCACCTTGCAGGCCACCTCCTAATTAATTTTCTTTCAATGTGAAAAATCTAGCACTGGCTCACTAGTAAATGCATAAACAAGTGGAACAACAAATCGATGTTTCTCTTTCTCCTTCCTCTCTCTCTTTAAAAATCAATATTTTTTTAATTAAATAATTTTTTTCTATATACATAAATTTAAAGGAGAAGATAGTGAAAACATATCCTCTGTCTTCTAGGACCTTACAAGACAGCTAAACTGTCTTGTGTGGTCTGACCTGGTCTACAACTCAGGACTCCCATTTATGGAAGAGATAAAAGTTCCAAGGAAGTTTTTGTTTTGTCTTCGGAAATTAGAATATGTATCCACCTCCTGCAGAATCCCTGGGCGATTCCTTTGTAAAATAAGTAGATGGGACTTGTGATCCAGTTTCCTTCCCCTGGGGGAGTCTCGGGCTCTCCGTAGGTACACTATTATTTCTGGTCCCTATTTCACCACAGTCTGGATGCCCACAGGCGCCCCAAGGACTCCCTGAACCTCTGCCAGTAGGGGCTTCCACCTCTTTCCTTCACAGCACACGGCAGGGAGCACGGCTTTCAGCAGACCGCCTTCTGCAGCGATGCGGTACCACGGCGCCCCCCAGTGCGCTAGCGCCGGGCCATACAGAGCGGAGCCACACTGTTAAACTGGAGCGACTGTACGCCAATGCGCTCTACCGCTGTCCACCCTCCCAGGCTGCAGAGATTGTTATGCCTCGTTTTCAGCGTTAGCTAAAAACCTGATTAAAAAAAAAAAAAAAAAAAAAAAAAAAGGCTGGATCCCATAGTTTGGTTTTATTTTAAGCCCAACAGCCTAGCTCCACATCCCTCTTGCGCAGCTTTTCTTCCCTCGCGCGGGACGCACGGGGCAGCCGTTGAAGGTGAGCCTCGCGGATCCGCGGACCGGGAATGCGGGGCAAGCCGAGTTTGGGCAGAAACCTGCCCGGCTACTGGTGACGTCATCACGCCCCGCGCTCCCACGGGTCCTGTGCACTCCTCCCTAGTGGAGGCGCCGAGTCCGAAGAAGCCCAGCTTGGAGCCTATGGGGACCTCTCGTGGGCAAGCACAGAAGTGCACTCCGGAGGAAGATGGAAGAAAATCAACCTTTAAATACTGCAAAGCAAGCACCGCAAACCCAAACAGGCTCCTCCCCTCGCCTCCCTCGCCGATCCGCCCCCATCCTGCGCTCGGCTGTTGATTTCTCTCGCCTTCGTGGACTCAGCCTTCGGCCCAGCGGGCCTGGCGTTTCCCAGCAGGCCCCGCGCTGGGAAAGGGTTTGCTGCTGCTCCGTCATCGTGCGGCCCGTAGCGATCCCGCGCTCGTGTGCAGGCCCGACTTGGTTCCAGCTCTCCGCTGCGGGGATTCACGCGAGGCCCCGGCCTCAGTCCCCGGACTAGGCCGCGACCCCGTGTGCCATGAAGCAGGAGGGCTCCGCGCGGCGCCGCGGCGCGGACAAGGCGAAGCCGCCGCCGGGCGGAGGGGAACAGGAACCGCCGGTGCCCCCGGCCCCCCAGGATGTGGAGATGAAAGAGGAGGCGACGGCGGGGAGCGGGTCCACGGGGGACGCCGACGGGAAGACGGCGACGGCCACTGAGCACTCGCAGCGAGAACTGGACACCATCACCTTGGAGGGTACGGAAGTCTGGACCGGGGACGGGCCGTGATCAGCTTCTCTCTGGGACCCCAGCGCAGCCTCCACCGCCCCTGGCTCCTAAGGATCGCCCCCAAAAAAACTTCCCGCCCCCACCACCCTGACACTCCCAGCCCCAATCACTCCGGGCTCAGGACTCCCCCTCGCCACACACCTCCACCCCGCCCGGCATTGCATCCAGGACTGGGTCCCCCTGGGCGTGTAGACTCCTCCTTAGTCCTCCCCCCTAACTCACGTTTACATCCTGGTTCTGTGGCGCCCCGTGTGTACGACTGATCCCTCCAGAACCCACCGTTTGTGTTTATGTGTGTGAAAGGGGGTCGAGGGCGCGGGTGGAAGACTGGCCCTTGTTTTAAGCGTGTACAAAGGTCTCTGTTGTGCTGGCTACCTTAGCAAACTCCCCTGAAAGAGCCCCTTCTGCCTAGGATCCTGCTTCCTCCTCTCTGTAATCCAAGGCGCCCAAACGATCCCATCTCTTTTTTCCTCTCCCTTCAAGCCCTTCCTCCTGCTCTTGTTTCTAAAGAGAAATCCATGACATACTTTCAACTTTGTAGCTATCGTCTGTGAGTTTCCTAACACTCGCCTCCCATCGGAGCTCCCTTCTCCCAGTCGAGCTCTGGTTCCTCCCAGGTCACGTTTCTCCTTTCTCACTCTGAGCCTGTTGCTGTTCCCCCAGTTTCCGATCGAGTGGGACTGGACAGTTTCCTGGGTTTTCTCTCCAAAGTGCATGAGAAACTAGCTCCGACACACCGAAGCGTATGCAGTTATGCTTCTGGGTGGCGTTTTGAGGGGGTGAGCGTGCTGACTGCATCAGCTCCTGCTCTTCAGTAGGTTGGTCACTTGGCTCAGCAGCTAATATCCACCTTTTTACCTAAAATAATGATAGCCAGTAGCAAAGGGGCTGCTGGCATTACCTACTAAGTATGTATGTGTTTGTTACAAATACTTCACCTTCTTATTATAAAGTAACTCGTGTTCATTGTAGAAATGTTGGAAAAATTGAGAAGTCTAAAAGTGTAGCAGGAGGGAGAGGGAGGATCAACCATGGTTCCCATTTTTTCCTGTGAATTTTTAAGCTGCTCTCCTATATAATTCAAATCGAGTTATATGTATGGTTTGGAACAGGCATAGCGTAATAACAGGTGATCTGGTGTGCTTTTAAGTTTCTTTCCCTGAGAGGAAGAGTATCTACTTGGTTGGGTTGTTGTGAAGATGAAGATGCTTAGAACTGCATCCAGCACATGATGAACACGTAGTAAACCCTCTGTACACACTAGCTGTTATCATTATATCACGTTATTAATGTGGCCTAGGCACCCTATGCTAAGTATACAAAGTTGATGAAGAAACGACTCGTTGATTGCATTTTCTTCTTGGACATTTAAGAGTGGCCAGCTTCTTATTTTTATAAATAGCTATGCAGCAGTCATCTTTTGCCCAAGTTTTTAATCTGCCTTTCTAGTTTTTTCTTCCGTTTAGAATCAATGTGCTTGAGTGGAAAGGGTGAATGTTTGAGATAGGCATTGTCCAGAAAAACTGGATTGGTTTACATTATTATACCAGCAGAAATGTCCTGTTTGCCCCAGAGTTGTCTTAATCATTTATCCAAGGTCTTTGTAGAATAAGGATATGCATCTTTGGTCACATTTGTTGCAGATATTTTTCTTTTATTGAAATCAAATTCATCAATCGTGTGTGTGTGTGTGTGTGTGTGTGTGTGTGATTTCTCCCACTGTTTACCTTTGGAAAGCCTTCTCTTATTCAGAGATCTGATAAATATCCATGAGTTTGTTTTGTTTCTCATCATTTCTTTTTTCTTCGTATCTCCACCCTTTCCCTACCCCAGCCTTATTTTTCTTTGGCACGTGGTGAGGTCTCCCTGTATGGCATCCACAAGTATTGCTGAACCCTGTTAGGGCAGAAGAGGTGATTGGCCACCTTCTGCCCTTTTGAGGATGGTAAGGGAGGGATAGAAAGGGTTGGAAGTGACACTTTTTCTCTGGTCCTTCGCAGACATCAAGGAGCATGTGAAACAGCTGGAGAAGGCCGTTTCCGGCAAGGAGCCTCGCTACGTGCTGAGGGCCCTGCGGATGCTGCCTTCCACGTCACGCCGCCTCAACCACTACGTTCTGTATAAGGCTGTGCATGGCTTCTTCACCTCCAACAGCGCCACTCGGGACTTCCTGCTTCCCTTTCTGGAAGAGGTGAGTGAGCCAGGCGCGTCCTAAAGCCCTGTCTTGTCACCTGCTGCAGCAGAGAAATGGAGGCCCATTTCAGTAGCCATTGCCCATGGCCAAGGGCACCGTCCTCTGCCCTGTAGTGTCATCCTCTGAGTGAGGGACCGGAGCTGGGAATCAGGAACCGTCCCACCAAACGCATCTCCTACTGCCCGCAGCACAGACCTCTCCTCCAGTCGGATCGCGTCTCCATTGTCCTAGGACAGTGCTGCAGCTCTGTGCGGCTTTTCCACAAAGTATGATACCACATGTGGGCGCCCATGTGCAGTATGATTGAAACTTGGTGGTCCATGTGCAGAAGTCGGTTTTAAGCTCTCAAAAGAAATTTCAATGGTTGTACCGTTGATGCTTGGCTCTGTTGACTAATAAGTTTGCCGACCACTGTCCTAGGAGAAGGTGCCCCCGCCTCTTTGCCTCTGAGGTTCACTATGGGGACGTGTGAAACAGAGGTCTAGAGCACAGGGTTTGGAGGTAGAGTTAAATTTGAATCCTAACCTCCTTGTGTCTCATTTTCTTCGGTTGTTGAATGTGATGGACA